TGACAACTGCTGGTGCTCCATGTCGGAGGACGATGTTTTCATAAAAAAGTGGGCAGTCTCAATGGCGGCGCCACGTTGTAATGCCTTCGTTTCGCAGTAGCGCGTCATGTAATCAGTAGCGACTACAATCCAGCGGTTGCCGTCACGAGACTTGGGAAAAGGTCCGAGTAGATCCATGCCAATTTGTTCGAACGGTTGTGTCGGAGGAGCGACGGGCTTCAAAAAGCCTACTGGGCGCTGATGTGGTGCTTTACGGCGCTGGCACTCGTGACACGTCTTCACGTAATGCTTCACGTCTCGACTGAGCTTAGGCCAGTAGGAGTGTTGGCGAATCCGGGCCAAGGTACGCGTGAATCCCAAGTGGCCTGAGGAAGGCTCATCGTGACAGGCGGACAAGACATCGGCTCGTAACACTGGCGGGACAACGAGCAGGTACTCAGTCGCGTTAGGGTCAAAGTTTCTTTTATAGAGGATATTTCTGCGGACGCAGAACGATGATGCCGAGCGGGCGAATGCTGGTGGTGGGTGCGGCGTACGGCCTTCGAGATATTCGATGAGTTGTCGAAGCCCGGAATCGTTCTTCTGCTGTTCAGCCAAGTCGGATACATTAACGGCGCAGAGGAAAACGGCCGTCGAGATCGTGATCACCTGACGCTGTCTTAAGAGGAGCTCGGGAAGGCAGTCCGCGTCAGTATGCTTCCGGCCAGACTTGTACACGACTGTCAAATCGAACTCCTGAAGGCATAAGCTCCACTTGGCCAGACGTCCGGAAGGGTCTTTAAGGTTCGCCAATCAGCAGAGCGCATGATGATCGGTAACAACTCTGAACGGGGACCATACAGGTACGGTCTGAATTTAGCTATTGCCCAGACAACAGCTAGGCACTCCTTTTCAGTTGTTGTGTAATTCGCCTCCGCACATGATAAAATCCGACTCGCATAAGCAATAGGGCGTTCGACGCCGCCTGCCACTGGACGAGGACTGCACCAAGGCCGATGTTACTGGCGTCTGTGTGTAGTTCAGTGTCGGCATATTCGTCGTAGTGTCCGAGTAAGGGCTCAGACTGGAGACGCTGCTGGAGCTCAGAGAAAGCGCGTTTGCTCAAGACCCCACACGAAGGGAACGTCGTCTTTTGTCAGACGAGTGAGGGGTTCGGCAATGTTTGCGAAATTTTGCACAAAGCGTCTGTAGTATGCGCAGAGGCCTAAAAATCGACGCACATCACGTTTGTTGGTAGGTGGTGGAAAATCTGCGACAGCCAATGTTTTGTCTGGGTCAGGCCGAATACCATCAGGGCTAACAAGGTGACCGAAGAACTTTAATTCGTTGTAACCAAAATGACATTTTTCTGGTTTCAGTGATATGCCTGCCGTGCGAATTGCAGCAAACACAGATCTAAGTCGCTGCAAATGCTGCTCAAACGTTTGGGAGAAGACAACGACGTCGTCTAAGTAAACAAGGCATGCTTCCCCACTTGAGACCGCCAGAGCACCTGTATCCATCATCCTCTGGAATGTCGCAGGGGCAGAACACAGGACCGAAGGGCAGCACCTTGAATTCGTACAGACCATCAGGCGTTATGAATGCTGTTTTCTCTCGGTCGCGTTCATCAACTTCGATCTGCCAGTAGCCACTGTAAATCCATAGAGGAGAAGTATCGGGCGCGTCGGAGGCGGTCTAGTGAGTCGTCGATGCGCGGAAGCGGATAAACGTTTTTTCTTTGTGATTTTAAGTTTGCGGTAATCGACGCAAATCGGAGAGTGCCGTCCTTCTTTTTTACTAGTACGATGGGGGACGACCATGGACTGTTCGAGGATTGGATTACGCTATCTTCGAGCATCTGCTTCACTTGAGAACGTATAGCCTCTTTGTTCCTTTTGTGATACTCGGTAGGCGTGCTGACGTATGGGTCGCTCAGCATGGTCAGTGACAATGCGGTGCTTTACGGTTTGGCGTTTGTTTTATCTTGGATGTAGACGCGAAACAGTCGCTAAACATGCGGAGGATACAGCGGATCTTGCTCTTTCTGCGCATATGACAGGTTCGGATTGACATCGACTTGCATCGGCTATTGCGGTGTCACTTTCAACGGCTGCAGAAATTTGGGCTATCGTTCGCACACGCTTCATCGTCGATGGATTCAAATGAGCGATAGTTGTTTGCTTGGCCAAATGTTGGTATGCTCCACTAAATTGGTTTACCAACAACTCAGTCATCCCACGTTAAATTGAATTATTCGCGGGCAACGCAGATTTGCTGAGACAAGAGCACCGAAAGGTTGGCTTCAGCGATACCACTACTGTCATGGTCTATGTCGCCCTGTACTGTAACGAACATACTGGTGCGTGGCGGAAGTGTGACGGTGTCGTCGACAATGCGAAGCGCAGTCTTCTGCGGATTGGTATCTCTAGCTTCGGGCCATAGTCGTCAGCAAACGTTACGAGGCAGTCTCGAAGATTTATAACAGCGCCGCGCTCACGAAGGAAATCCATGCAAGGATAACTTTCCGGGAGCATTCGGGAAGCAACAACGAAAGAAGCAATGAACGTCGACTCACAGATTTGCCAGCCTTGCGGTGCATCTCCCGAGGAGTCATGACTTTTCCTGAGTTCAGCCACAAGTTTAGCGCTGATAACTGAGTAGTCGGCGCCGGTGTCGACTAGAGCAGTCACTGGCTGGTTGTCGACACGAACGGCAATGTCAGCAGAAACGGGTTCGTCAACGATGTGAGGTGTCGGCTGTAAGGAATTGTCGAAGGTCGGTGGATGGGTCGGAGGAGGCTGTTTTGATGATAGCTTAACAGCGGTTCTACCCCCGGAGGCCGCCGATTCTAGTTTCCCCGGCGTGGACTTGGGGACCTAGCGGATCGTCCCGCAACAACATCGGCGAAAGTGGAGTATTGATTCGTGGACGTAGAGTCGAGGAGACGGAGAGCGTGATTGGCGTCGCTGAAGATTCGGAGACGGTAGACTTGCCAAGTACTCTGCGATGGCGCGGGGGTCGTTCGCAGTCCCTGGGCCGACGAGCGTCTGGCCGAAATCCAGGTAGGCCCATCTGTCTGTACGAGCACTCCCGGTACAAGTGACCTGGCTCACCACAGTGGTAGCATAGTGGCCGATTGTCGGAAGCGCGCCACACGCTAGATTTCCGCAAATTAGGCCGCAGATTCTCATAGTGTGGTGGGCCCGAGAAGTACTGCGGCATCTGCAGGCAAGTCTGTCGTTGGTTTCATAGCGTGGCCCGCCCGAGAAGTGCTGTGGTGTCTGCAGGCTAGCCGGTCGGGGGAAATAGCTGGCTGCCAGTGCAGGAGTACGTACAGCTTCCGCATACGTTAGCAGAGGAGCTTCGGTTGGAGGTGGCGCTAATGGTCGTACCAGCTGCCGCACTTCTTCACGGAACGTCTGTCAGAGCAGCCACTTGAGGCTGTGAAGGCACTGCATGAAGCTTTTGCAGCTCGTCGCGTACAATGCTACGGACTAGCTCAGCAAGGTCTCTCACGCTCGTGACATCGGGTGTTACTAAGGGTGCTGACAGACATGCAAGGTTGTCGGACCGTTCATACTGCGAAGACTGCTGTCTTAGCATTCGCTCCATGGTCGTAGCTTCACGGAGGAATTCTGCCACGGTTAGCTGGTGGGTTTCGCACAAGTCCTGCAAACAGCTGCTCCTTGACACCCCGCATCAGAATGCGTACCTTTTTGTCTTCCGTCATTGCAGAATCCGCTCGACGGAACAGACGAGACATTTCCTCAACGAACATGGCCACGCTTTCATTGGGTCTTTGATTGCGAGAATTGAGGAGACGTTCGGCTTGTTCTTTCCGGTCGGCGCTTCCATACGTGTTCCGCAGCTGAGTGCAAAACACCGGCCAGGTTGTCAGGGCGGCCTCGTGATTCTCGAACGCAAATACGCGCCGAATCCTCCCGGTAAAATAAACATACCGCAGTTTCCGGTGCTCGTCCCACTCGTTGGCGACGGCGACTCGATCGTATTGGTCCAGCCAGTCTTCGTCTTCGTAGGGTTCCCCATGGAAGGGCTTTGGCGTTCGAGAGGCTGGTAGCCATGGTGCAGCGGAGTCGCGGTCGGCTCAGTCTGGCTTGCAGTTGTCGCATATGCCATGGTTCTAGAGCGTTCCGGAAGAGGGCTGAATTGGGGTGGTAGGCCTAGTTGCCGCCGACCGCGTCGAAGGTTGGCTGTTTCTACTAAGGCGTCGATGTTGGGACCAAGATCTTCCTCATGGGAACAGTGCATAGACTATTACCCCGCACCTCCACCAGTGTCAAGTTACAACGTAACTGTAAGCTGCAGATAATGGCACACAAGGACGTCAAACTGATTCGAACAACGGCAGTATGACTATTGTTTTTCTCTGCACGCGCATCTTTGTCCTCTTCTGAACAGCGGCACATACAAGCATGCCAGCATCTGTATAAATAATACGTGTAGAATTTGTACTAGTGGCAATATTGTGTTTTGAACTTTGAAGTTTTTTCACAGATCTGACAGTCCATAATATTATCATGATTGTAATAATGACACAGCTGTAGCTGCTATACATAGTGTCTCATGTCTTCGGGGGTACAGGAGAGGCCTATGGTCATCGAGCAGCAGGCTCTTACAAAATACCTCGATTGGGGCTCACTCTCAAGCAGGACAGTGTGCACATTTTTTTTCCTTGCAACCAACCGACAGAAGTCAACATTCTTGTATGAGTGAAACTGCCTCAATTTTCCTTGAGCATCTTAACATTTTTTTAATAATACCTAGAAGGCAGTCATGATCACATCTATACTGTGCTTGTAGCTGCCTTCTAGGTGCTTAGCTCGATATAGCTGGGGATGTGGTCAGTAAGGCTTCTCTCCGAAGTGTTTTCTTTTGCTTGTCTCATTACATTTGCGTACCAGACTTGGTTCATTTTTGAAGGTCTGTCAACTAACACTTGGAGGGCAACAGTTTTATGTTCTCTTTAGGTTCATTGCATGATATGTCTACCTCTCTAGTCTTGGAGCACACCGGGTCAAACCTGTCAAAACGGCCATGGCATGACAAGACGCTGACCTCTCTGCTAAGAGTAAGTCGTCTGATTCCTTTATATTTGTTACATCTTATTGATTTTAGATTCGCTGGATGAATTGCCCATAGGTCGAGAGATGGGGCTTTAGTGAAATGTTCTCTGTTCCAGTTAAATACTTTTTTTTCATTATGTTTAATTTGGTAAAGTTCATTTTCTGCTTCTGTTGTTAGATTAATTAAGGGAACTTTCGCAAACACATTAAGTGGTGTGTTCAGGATTATTCAATACCGTTTGGATATATTATTTAATGGTTTCTGTTCTAGACTTGTTAATTTCCTACGGTGAGGCTTTTATTTGAATGCTATGTTGGTGATGCACAGACAATCGCTTTTTTGGTACCTCTTGTATAAATATGTCTTAGTTGCTTTAGTGACATTCCCCAATCATTATCCTATTGTAATGGTTTGTATTGTTAATTTTATTAAGAAGTATGTTGAAAACGAAAGTTATTTTTGAAAGTGACTCAGCATTTTTACTTCATTTCATTTTTTAATAGTAGTGTTTCATATATAAGGATTGGTGGTTTAATCTGATATAATGCTTAGTTACAGGTATTTGCACTTACCATAGGAAAATGTTAATTTGTTTTTCTCCCTTTATTTTCATATTGCTTAGCATGCCCAATGGCCCCTTGTTTTCATTTGTGCCTGTTTTGGGCTCTTAATACCAATACCATATCATCAGTGAAAGCCTGGATTTCTACTACTTCTGGCATTGGTGTGTTTAAGTTTTTTGAGACTATAATATTCCAGAAAATTCGGCTAAACAATGAACTGTCGCTGATCCCGTTAATGGGGAAGCAATCACTCGGAAGATTCTGAGGGCTGACGTAATAGCCCTTTTAAACGCTCCACAAAAGTGAGAACAATTTTGGCTAGGTTCTTTGACTACATCAGCGAACACCAGTTGTGGTCCAAAGGCCGAGTAAGAGTCAATACTTGATAACACAAGCAAAATATCTTTCCGGTTAAGGCTGTAAAGGTATTACATACACAAGTATGCACGAGCATACTCAGCAGGTCAATTCACAATACAAGTAGGATGGTGTTTAGGACAAACTGAACAAACAATCAGATTGAGCTATCATTGCAATCCTCAGCAGGTCAATTCAACATACAAGCTGGATGGTGTTTAGGACAAAGGAAACAAAACAATCAAATTGAGCTATCATCGCTGTCTCATGCATTAAAATATGTTGAAGAACACCTGTAGTCTTTAGAATTTGACGATCGTGTCCATTGTACAAATTTTTCTAATGTGTCTTGACTGCTTCTCTACCATGAAACAACCACGGAGGCTCTAGCACTGATCGTTTTTGTTCCCTCTGTCGTCGGCCCAATAAATATTGTGGTATAACTTTTGAAGCTAGAAGCATCCGAAGACCAGGGTGGCTAAGAAGTGTGGGAACAACTCTGCACTGGCAAGCGATCCGAAGTGACTCAATGATTTCGAAGAGCACTCATTGGTTGTTCATTTATCTAACACATTTTAAGTTTATACAGTGCACTGCACTGAGTCACAAATACAAAACATAGAAAATGATCGCATACCCCTCGCATAACTGCTCTTTGGGGGTAAGATGCGCTGTTGATCCCGAGTTGGCTCTCCCCAAAAAAGTCTGTGTCGCTAACTAAACGGCATTATGCAGCATCCACGTGTACGTGGACCACGTAGAAGATTACCGTTTTCCATCAATTGGAACACTGCTTATACGGACCGATCGGGCAAACCGAAGATAACCGATCTCAACACGTGATAACGTAGTCGGGTGAATCTTGCCTTACAACAAAACTGCAGTAGTTTTTGGAAATACATAGCACATTCTCAAAAACAGCCTCAGTACGCAAGCAAGAGCTTAAGTTTCCGTCCTCCGTTGTCCCAAAGGCCCCAGTGGTGGCTCGCTCGTTTGGGGTGCGGGGCACACAATGACCGAATGCCACAATAACCGAATGACACAATTTCCCCTTTGACTTGCATTCTTGTCCGGCTGACCTTCTAACAAGCGCATTTGACAAAAAAAGAGCTCCTGCTGTAGTTGAAAAAGAAAAAAGCCTTTGGGGTGACATTGCCTTCGCGAAAATCTTTCTTTAACCTTTTTTGCTAAATGCCTCAATCTCCATTGCTGAGCACTTATAGGTCCGTTCGGTTTGCCTGCACCAGTCTGAACCAGTTCACGAAAGTGGCCAAAAGGTTCACCTCTGTTGCGTGTTGCGTGCAATTCAGCAGAGCTGCAGCGGTGCTGACCTAAATGGACAGCAGAGCCACGTAGAATCGAATGGCAAAGTTCAGTTGTTGCGCAAATTGTTCCGCCCTATTCCAAACAAGCGAGCGGGTGCATCGAGAGTACAAGGTGTGCGTTCCTCTATGCACTTTTCGTGCGTGAATTAACATTCTCCCACCTGTCACTTTTGTGTACGAAGTTGAACTCTGCACTGCTTAGAACTCTGCACTGCTTTCGGGGTTGTTGATGTCATACTGGGATAGTGCAAGTCGCCATGAAGCTGATGGATTCTGACAACTAAGAGTACGATGACTTAGTTGCTGCGGTAGCAATGAAATCTGCGAGCTGGACAGAAATCGCGTGCCCAGGTATTGTTAGGACGTTGTTGATTGGTGTCCTGGTTTTGAGTTTAAATGGATGTTTCGGCTGTCACGTGAGACGTGTGGGAACAGGCTTGATATACGTGTCGACATGCTTGATATATTTTAGTTGGCAGTTCGCACATGCTTTAAGAATCGGGAATGGTTTTACAAAACCATAATGAAATGGACAAAACCATAATGAAATGGAGTTACAAATTCTTTGTGTACAAAAGCCGTGTATGAGCATGTATTGAGCTTTATAAACGGCATAAACGAAGGAGTCATTTCTTGGCCAGACAGTGATGAGCAAGAGTAGATCAAGATTGGCTTTTTGCTGAGGAGCAAAGGTAAAGGCCCAAGCAACACTGAAGGCTGCAATGCAACAACATTGATTGATTTGTGGGGTTTAACGTCCCAAAACCACCATATGATTATGAGAGACGCCGTAGTGGAGGGCTCCAGAAATTTTGACCACCTGGGGTTCTTTAACGTGCGCCCAAATCTGAGCACACGGGCCTACAACATTTCCGCCTCCATCGGAAATGCAGCCGCCGCAGCCGGGATTCGATTCCGCGACCTGCGGGTCAGCAGCCGAGTAACTTAGCCACTAGACCACCACGGCGGGGCACCGAAGGCTGTGTGGACAGTTGCCACATAGACACTAAAAAGCCAAAAGTGTCATTGCATTCGTACTTCAATACTTCAGCCGCAGGAGATTTCCATCTGTCAATATGGAATGATGGGAACAATTTCTTTGACGTCTTACTAGGATTTCCTGGATCTGCACACGATTTCAGGGTGTTTTATGAAGGCCCTTTTTTCGACATAGGACAGACGTGTGCCGACAGTTACCTGCTTGGAGAGACTGCATACTCCTTGCTTTCGGGGTTGTTGATGTCATACTGGGATAATGAGCAGACTTTTCCAGCATAGAAAAAACGCTAAAACAAGTACCACCCTCAGGAGAGATCTGCCATTGAAATGCCTTTGGTCATCTGAAACAATGCTTTCGAAAGCCTTGCTTTGTTAATGCTGTTACAGTCAAACAGTGCTGCTTTATAATAATTGCTGCTTGTGTACTGCACAAGGTATGCAGTAAAGAGAGGGACTTCTTTGTTGAGCTCCAAGAAATTGCACGGCTGAAAGAAGTTAAAATGATAATGAGAGTGATGTAACAGACCAAAGTTTTGCAGCATACAGAAAATGTCTTGGAAAGGCCATTGCTCAAAAGCATTGTTAGTGCCTAAACTAGGATATCATGAATGACAGTGTGATGTGAGGATGTCACGAACAATTTGTGATATTGAAGAGTGGACTGTATTATTGTCTAAGAAAAAGGGAGAACCAATTCGGTTGAGTCTCAATTCTCAATTTTTGCCACATTGACTTTCAATGGCAGTCACCAGGCGTTCGAGAAGGCTCATTAACCGCACCTCTCTCTCTTTCTGGCTTTTTTTGAATTCGTGCTGGAGATCTTGAATCGGAGTGCCAATGTACTCTTTTCGTTTTTCTGATTTTCTGTGACTGCTTGAAGTTTCTCCTATCAGCTGCAGTCCGCTTGCGTCGTTGCCCAATTCTGCATCGGCAGGCCTCAAACCACTCTCTTGCCGAGGGATCATTTGGCACGGCTTGCATCGAGGCTGTCCCTGAAACGAATGTTAACCTCACAAACATGAAAGTGTTACATTTCATGGAAACAATTGTTTACCTGTTTTTCGGTAATCACCCTTTTCTCTGGGGCAATCCGCGGAAGTGGGCTGGAACATCGCTCAAGTTCACATACTAGAAATAAAAAATATGGCTAATGGGTTGATGATAGTTGAATATTACCTGTACTCACCCTTCTATTTCTCAAGGGACACATTGCCCTCACCTTGCCTGAGGAGTGTATTTTCGGGCCCGATGAGGAGTTTGCCTGCCCGCTCGGGGACTTTTCATTATTTTGGATGTTGTAGGCCCGTGTGCTCAGATTTGGTGTGCACGTAAAGAAGCCCCAGTGGTGGTCGAAATTTCCGGAGCCTCCACTACGGCGTCTCTCATATCATATGGTGGTTTTGGGACGTTAAACCCCACATATCAATCAATCATTTATTTTGGACTTAGGAGTGGTCTACACGGGCCTTTATGCTATTTTGATATGATGCCGGCAAGTGTTTGCTAAAGGGTCTTTTTCATGCTGAGAGAAATATGATCACAAATAGAAAGGCTTGGCATGTGTTAAAAGATGTACAGACACAGTCACCGACCGGTTATTTGAACTCGACGGGAATCGCCGAAAAGGCCAAATAATCGGGAGTCCGGAAAAAAGGATTGACCCCCCAAAAAGCACTTTTTCTGATCTTGAAAATTTTGCGCAAGCACACAAAAAGAAATACAAACGTGTGCAATCTAACAACTGGGTTATTTTTCGAAAGTTTTCGAAAGTGCAAGTTTAACATTGAGGGGGGTCTTAGAAAAAATATGCTAAATACTGTTCTTATTTCAATATAAGGTGGCCATGATTATAAGGCGAGGGGAGTTGAAGAACCAAAGAAAAGGAAAAAAGTTTGCACACTAATATTAGGCGAGATTTTTTGCCAAAAATCTTATTTGATATCCCACCTTTTAAGTGCCCAATAATCAGCCGTGCCACTGTATAATCATTATGTCATCATCAAAAGCATCACTGCTTTTTTGTTGCTCTCGCATTCCCAAACTTCACTATCTTTGACGCCAACCAGCGAGTTGGAATAGGAGCACTTCTTGAAAGAAGCTGTCACCATTGTGTTGGGTATGGCTGCCCAAGTGTCAGCTATTCAGCGAGCCTTTACGGACGGAGATGCACGCTTCAAATGGCCCGGCAGTGTCAGGTAGACCGCCACCGAGAGCACCTGGTTGAAGGCTCGAGGTACCATGTGTAGGCACCTGAGCAGGCGCCAGGCACGAGCACCACCATTGGAGTCGTTCATCGAGCGGCGAATGCTCCCCAAGATTTGGTTCCTAAACCTGAGAGTATGGCGTCTGCACACTACGCCGACTCTCCGGAATACAGTCTAAAGCTCCAGTAGGGCCTTCGCGGGGCCTTGTCGCTCTGTTCGCCGCCGTGCTCCCGTCAGAGCCAGGTGTTTCATGTTCGAGATGGGCTGCCCCTGCCCCTGCTGGCCCATGGCGACGATCGTTGCTGCCCTGGAACTGTCGGCCCCCAACTGCATCAGGTCCCTGTCACTTGTGTCTTCCTCGAACAGCTGCCAGTAGACCCGCCAGCCCACCACATAGTATTCACGGTCCCTGAGGGCTCAGCCGCAATAGGGAGACAGTAGGAGGGGCAGATGGTCGGAGCCCCATGTGTCCTGAGCCCTTGACCATGAGTACTGGCATCCATCCGTGGCGGCCCCAATGTCGATGGCCGTGCGGGCTGCCCGGCTCCCGGCACGAATGAAAGTAGGGAAGCCGGTGTTCACTATCACCAGGCCCAGCTTCTGCAGGACGTCCTTCAGAGCCCTGCCCCGTGGGGTGGTCTTGTGGCTGCCCCACGCTACGTGGTGTGCATTTACGTTCCCGCAGCGCACGAACTCCCTCCCCAGCCTGTGTGCCAGCTGTCGTAGGCACCTAGGGTTTCAAGGCTGGTTTGGCCGAACCAGCCTTGGAACCACTGAGAGTACCGTCTCCACGGTGGTGTCACCCCCCTCGAGGCGTACTCGAATGGCGCAGCATTCGAAGGCGCCACCGACCAGGTCAACCACAGACACCTGGGCCTGGTGGAGTTCACGCTTCACGTAGACGGCACACCGGGCTCCCTTCATTTGGTGGCGATCGTTTGGGCAGGGGGTAGCAGGGCAGGCTTCCAGGGTATGCTCGATCTTGCTGCTGTAGCTCACGTACCCTGGCAGGCGCACCTCCTCAGCCCGGGTATCGACCTCCTGCAAGTTCAGAACCTCTAGGTCGACCTTCTCAAGATGCTTGTAGAAGTAAGCCCGCCGTCCCTGCAGAGAGTTGACATTTTCCGGTATAATGCTCGGACGGCGAGGTAAACGGGCTCTGGCAGGAGCACTAGCCATGTTGGTTAGAAAGGTGCTGCAAAGCCACTGCCTGCAGGCAGATCGCACGTAGAGGTGTTCGGCTGGCAGCAGGGCGACGGCCAGCTGCATGAACAGCAAAAGGTAGGCTGTCATCTGGTCGTGTTGGCAGGGTGAGTGCCACCTCAGTTGACACACCGCGGCCGCGTCTTTGGGAAGTCTCGCACCCTAGGGTGGGTCCGACCGCAGCGTATTGCAGCTTTCAGGCCAGCTGCAGCGTTCCTTGACATGGCGAAACTGGCCACACTGCCCACACTGGAGTGATTGGGGCCTGGTCGGTCGTACAGGGAAGTGCATACGGAACAGCGTCGCATGTTCTGGGGGAACAGGGTCTCCGAACTGTAGGGTGTTCGTGCGGCCCTCCCTGGTGGCCAACAACACAGGCACTGTGAACAGAAGGCCAGGCAGCAGGGTCTCCGCCTCTGGGTCTCCGTCGATGCCATGCAGTAGCCAGTGCTTGTCCGGTGGTCTTCCGGCTCCTTGGCAATGAGTGGGATGCACTGCAGCACTGAAATGGCCACTAGCATTTTCAGGCATTCCCTGATGGTCACGTTCAGCGCCACAATGTTGTGGCGATAGTTCACCCTGATTTCAGCAACATCAGGGCATGACAAGAGTGTCTGGGCAAAGCTCAAGCAGGGCATCCGCGTTGCATCTCCCGGGAGCTTAGGGCCTGTAGAGCACCGTCCCCATGACCGCAGGGTTGACTGGCAGGGCAGCAGCAGCCAGTTTTTTCCCACGCCCCAGTGTAGCCTTCAATCGTACCTCATGGAAAGGCCCTTCGGCATCTGGCTGGTCCTCCGGAACGCTGGAGACAGCAGGGCGCTGGACTAATGGCGGCTTCGCTGAGGCATAATAGCCTTTAGGAGCAGGGGGAGGTCTCCCAGAAAAGTGGATGACAGGAGTGCCCGGGGGTGCTGCGGGTATTTGCTGCATGCGGGCTGGCTTGCTGCCTTTCTTCCTGCGAAAGCTCAGCATGCCTTGTGCTGGCACGCCCTTCACGAAGGCTGCCGCTGCCTCTTGGGTGGTCTGCCGTGCATTCACCTGCTCAATGGACAGGTGCTCATAGATTGCCTGAGTTTCCATGGGAGAGGCAGCTGTTGCAGAGTCATCCCTCTCAAGTGGGCCACAACACATACTTGAAAAGAAAATGCTTTTACCAACTTTCTGACAAAACTGAAAGCTGCTTCCGTGAGCACTGTTAGTTTCTTAGATTCTTGCACCGCACTGTCACTGCTTTGAACATCATGTAGGTTTGGTTTGGTAAGACAAATTTTAGCTTTTGTCTTTCAAGAGATCCCCGCACTGTCAGCATGGCACCTTTTTCAGAACTGCTTGTACTGGGTATCCTGACGCATAAACTATGTTCAGTTCTGGTTTATCTGCTGGTTCCTCGGTGTCTTACTGATTTGGGCAGAAGTTGTCGGCCACAGTAGGACTCTCTTCATTTCTTTAGCCCAGTAGAATAACATCTTTATTTGTTTTCCAGTTGCTGCAAAGAGCTTCTTGAAAATGATGGGCCTGAGAGCAGCAATGGACTCAGATGTGTTTGGAGTCTTATTGCAGCCGTGGTGCTGCCGAGTTAAAGAAGTTCTCCAAGAGGGTCCTCCATCAGAGGACAAGTAAGCATAATTTTAAAATTACAGGATTCTTGTAGGTCTGCCCACAATGTACAAATCGCTTGAATCGTCACATGCCAGCCCTGAATGGTTTTTGCCTTGGTCTTGAATCTCCATGCAATGCAAGCATTCAGTGTGCCTTGTTGAAGTATCAATTACATAACTAATTTTTTCTACGCAAGAACTGTTAGATGAGTCAAACGATCGATTTTTCCAATGAACTCTGCCATGTTTCTGGTTACTGGTGGTAGAGCACTAAATGCTATGAATGCTTCTATTTCTAGATAGACCCTGTTGCTCATCTCAAGGGAGACTCGACTTCACTTTCATTATACCAAATGCACTTTCGTAGATGTAGCTGTCAGTCATTTTGGGCAGGTGTCAAAGTTTTAAGGGTTCCACTCCATGCACGGCAACAAGTGTTATTTAAGGTTTGGGGAACATGCTTAGTTGTGTATGTCAGAGATGCTGGCTCAGATTGCAAGGAATAGGACACAAGGGGCACAGCGAACATATATTTAAACAGAAACGAGCACAAGCAAAACAAATACAAAAACAGAGCAAGCAAAATAGTATACAAAGCGTCGTTAAGAAGTCATTTCAAACAAATGGCATGCTTACCCATTTGAAGATCGATGAAGTAGCCCAGGCAGCGTTGATGCTGTTGAGTGAGAAGGACCAGGCGGGCTGTCGCAGTTACTGTGTCCGCTGCGCCGGAGCAGAAGGCGTGCTGTTTACGAAGTCCTTCGGTTGTTGGCTTCCCATGAGGTATGTTCTGGCAGTGCTGGCCTCCTGAACGTTGACGTCTAGCCAGGCAAACGCGTCTTCTTCGCTACAGCTTCTCTCTTAGTCTGATCGGCCCACGTGGTTTGTTCTTTTTTCTTAGCACGCACCATGTGGGCACGTGCTGGGAGATAAGTTGAAGGTGGCTGAACGGCTCTTGCTTCAGTGCATGTGCTTGTGCGTCTTTGCCGTCACTTTATTGACCTCTCAGCACCATCAGGGGACCTCACCACAGCAAGTTCTGCAGTGTCGTGGATAGATAAAAAAAGTTGCGCATTTATTTCTTCCTCACTGAACACTAATCTTTGTATAGCAACACCCGCTGCGTAGCATGCAATTAAAATAGTTACACAAGGACAAAGCATAGCTGGTGTCTTCCCCGCAGGGGCGCCTGCGCAAGTAGGCGTTTGGTGTGTAGCGACACCACGGACCCGAGCTAACGGGGGAGTTTCTTCTCCCTCCCACGCCTAGCCGTGCGTGGCTTTGCCGTGTCCGGGGAAAAGGGGGATCCTGGGGGTTGAGCCGACGCTGGGTGATTGGACCTTTAAGGCCCCCCGGCAGAGGCAACACACCCCTTTGGCCCCGGCTTCACGTAGACGGCACCCCTGGGCTGACCCACCCAGGGGAAATCGGCAGTCGCCTTTTCCTATCTCTCTCTCCCTACATCTTCGTCTTTCTTATTTTTTTAGCTTTCCTGTCTACTTCTCTCTTCTGCTTGCTTCCAATTTTCTCGGCGGCAAGGGTTAACCCTGTGCAAATAGCCTACCTTGGCCTAGGCGCATTGAGTTATAGCAGGGTTGTACGGCTGACGTCTGCAAGCTTTCAGCATCCGCAAACTTGCAGCGTCCCCTCGTTGGGCTCCGTGGTGGGTGGCCGCCAACGCTGCTGAACAACATTCAATTAGCATGCACAAAGCATTCCCTTTACTTAGTGATCGTGCCTCCTCAAAGCGGGTACGCACCGAAGACATCAATTTTTTTATTCGGCCTAGACAAATCTTTCCTCATTTTCATGTTATACACTGCGAAAAAACTAACAAACAAGCCAGAACTGTATCCCCCTTCATAGTGGCTAGGTGCCTAACCGAAACTCTCGGCGCCGGGTACAAGGTTACCAAAATGGCCAACGGAGATCTACTCCTTGAAATACGTGACCAAAACCAATTCGATAAACTGAACACCCTCACAACGTTTGGAGACACAACCATCAGTATTACGCCACACAGGTCCATGAACTCATCTCTCGGGGTCGTATCGGACGTAGATTTGCTTGAGCTGACCGAAGCTGACTTTCTGGAAGGATGGAAGAGCCGAACGTGACAAACGTACAGCGTATTAAGATCAGAAGAGATCAAAGGAAATCCCAACCAACACTTAGTACTGACCTTTGCTTCGAGCGATTTGCCGGAAACTATTCAGACTGGGTACACAAAGACATCCGTGAGACCATATATTCCCAACCCCCGCCGTTGCTTCCAATGTCAGAGATATGGCCACGGCTCGCAAAGCTGTCGTGGCCGGAAAACTTGTGCTCTGTGTGGAGTCGTGGGCCATGCGTCCGACAACTGCGAAGCACCTGCACACTGTGTGAACTGTGGCGGTAATCATGCGGCGTACTCACGTTCCTGTTCTTTCTGGAAAAAAGAAAAATAGATCATCACGTTAAAGATAAAAGAAAACATTACATTTAAAGAAGCAAGAAAAAGAGTCTCGCCATTTTATGGCCCCACATATGCTGATGCGGCGCGCCAGGGAGCAGTGTCGCACCAGCCCTCGCCACTCCTTCGGCCTGCGCAGAGCGAGCCATTGGCTGTGGCGCCTGCCCCCAAGGCGGCAGTAGTTGAGTCTACTCCGCCTACTATTGGAACAGAGACCAGAGACTCCAGGGTCCTCGGGTCTCAAGGCCTCGCCTTGCCAGGCGAGGCCCAAGCTTCGAAAAACCAGCTCGCATGAGCGGGCATCCAGTGCCTCCGAGGAGGCAATGGATACAGCGGCACCCTTTGTGCCAAAAGAGCGGCGCGGCTCTCTGAAGCGCGCCAAGAGAACTAAAAAGCTCATAACAGGGCCTGATAATAGCCCTGTTACTTGAGCTTGACCTTTCACCTTAAACAAGTCACTCCCTTAACGTACACACAGCACTACCTTACTTCCAATATGGAAACACAAATTATTCATTGGAACGTCAGAGGCCTGCTTAAAAACCTCGACGACGTCCAAGAGCTTTTATACAAACACTGACCTCAAGTGCTGTGTGTACAGGTAACACACCTAAAATCCTCCAATACAAATTTTTTACGTGCTTACGTCATATACCGAAAGGACCGAGATGATGCTGTGGCGTCATCCGGTGGCGTAGCCATTATTGTTAACCAAGGAATAGTGTGTACACATTTACCACTCCAGACATCCCTTGAGGTGGTGGCTGTTCGAGCGCTACTTTTAAACAAACTCGTCACCATCTGCTCTTTGTATGTACCTCCCCACCAACGTCTTGAAAGACGTGAATTCCAGTCTTTAATAGACGAACTGCCTGAACCTTATTTGCTTCTTGGAGACCTAAATGCACATAGTGGACTGTGGGGCGATTCTCGCTGTGATGCACGAGGTCGTCTCATTGAACAATTTCTCTTCTCTTCCGGTGCCTGTTTGTTGAATAGGAAAGAGCCAACATACTATAACGTTGCCAACAAAACTTACTCGTCTATAGACCTCAGCATCGTATCACCTTCACTCCTATCCCTACTGAAATGGAAAATCATAAGTAATCCATATGGAAGTGACCATTTTCCTGTAGTGTTCAGTTCACAAACAACATATGAATGTCCTGTACATGTTCCCAAATGGCTGATGAACAAAGCAGACTGGGAACAGTTCCACAACACTACACGTTTGAGTTAGACAGACATATGTAGGTTAGACATAGATGAAGCTGTGCAGTACTTCACAGCTTTTCTAACTGACGCAGCAGCCAGGTGCATACCGCAAACATATGGAATGCCCGGCAAACGACACGTCCCATGGTGAAACACAGAGTGTCGTAATGCGCGAAAGGAACAGAACAGGGCATGGAGGCTGCTTCGAAACTCACCAACAGCCGAAAATCTTGACGCCTTCAAGAAAATAAAGTCCCAAGGCAGGAGAACGCGTCGGAAGGCCAGAAAAGAAAGCTGGCAGAAGTTTTTATCGGGGATCAATTCATACACACAGGAGGCTAAAGTCTGGAACATGGTTGGTAGGATAGCAGGAAAACAAGTACACACACTTCCACTCGTAAACACTCAAGGTGAGACCTTGGAAGATCAGGCAAACTTCCTCGGGGCACACTTTGAACAGGTATCCAGCTCGTCCCACTGTACTGACACTTTCCAAAAATACAGAACAAGAATAGAAAAGCAGAAACTCGAACACAAATCCACTAGATACGAAGGCATACAACTCAAGCTTTCAGTCTAGCTGAGCTACGAACATCTCTAAACTCCTGCAGTACTTCTGCCCCAGGTTCTGACCGTGTGGGGTATGAAATGTTTAAAAACCTACCAGCCGAAACACGAAAAACCTTACTTGTTTGTACAATGCTATCTGGTTTTCTGGCACTATCCCTACCTCCTGGAAAGAGGCTATTATTATTCCCATTTTGAAAGAAGGCAAGGACCCTTCTTTAGCGTCAAGTTATAGGCCTATTGCACTTACAAGCTGCTTGTGCAAAGTCTTTTAAAAAATGATAAACTGCCGACTTATACATATCCTTGAAACAAACAATTTGCTCGACCGATTTCAGTGCGGGTTCGAGGAAAATAGATCTACCACAGACCACCTTGTCGTATTGAGGCACAGCTCAGAGATGCCCTTCGTCCATAAACAATATTTTCTCTCTGTGTTCCTCGATATCGAAAAGGCTTATGATACAACCATGGCGTTTGGAATTCTAAGAGACCTGTCCCACCTTGGTGTGCGCGGAAGAATGTTTCATATAATCGAAAGTTACCTGACAAACCGGACATTCCGTGTCCGTGTGGGCAGTGTTCTCTCCCAAACATTTGTCCAGGAAACAGGCGTGCCACAAGGTGGTGGGCTTAGTTGCACACTTTTTATTATCAAAATGAATTCTTGCACTTGTCCATCCCCCGCAATATGTCCTATTGTACATATGTCGACGACGTTCAGCTCGCTTCAAGTCATGCAACTTGGCAATGTG